GGGGGGGGAAGTGGGGCATCTGTTAGTTTAGTTCTTTATGTGAAAATTAAAGCTATGCATAAAACGCTTTTACCCTTTTTAGTTCTTTATGTGAAAATTGACTAAAACGCATTTACCTGGCTCTTGGGTTTATGCTTACTGTTACAGCTACTCAAGCCAGGGTGGTTGTGAGTTGTGTGTCAGGTCCAATGAGAGAGAGTTGAATAGGTTTCTTGGATTCCACTTGGAATTTTTCAACCGACGCTTGCGTGAGATCAAGTTGGTTGGGTACTTGGGTTGACATAAATCTCTCATTCACAGATAATTGACAACTATAATAATGTTTGGTTCTTTAACACAAGATCTAGATGCTTTCCATTGTAGTTTTTCTTACTTTATTTGATAATAGGGTCGTTCTCGTGTGTTTGGTGATAATATTCACATATCATGGGTTTTATTTGAATCTATGATGAGTGATCTCTCATTAAGAGAGATTAAAAAATTATAGAAGAGGGGATACAAATCTATATATGCATGGTTAGGTTCTTAATGAGGAAAGAGGAGGAGGAGGAAAAAAAAAATGTGGGGGGAGGAGGATAGAACTGGAATTTTCAAGTGCAAGTTGATGTTTAGAATGCCCATTCTACTGTTGAAGGTAGATGGGTATTGAATGAGGTTTCCATGCATCTTCTCTTTTGACCTTTCAAGGATCTATAAGAGCTTTAGGTGTAGGTTCAAATTGAATGTGTTTCACATCCTGTACTCCTTTGGGCAAAGCTTAGTGGACCTTAAATAGGGAAAAATATTTGGTGCTTAGTGGGTGCAATGTGGTGTCCCATATCCAATAAAAAATTACCATAACACTTATCAGACACGGTTATGTTTTTTTAAAAATTTCTGTTAACTTTACCAGTGACAACAATTGATTGAGAATATATGTACAATAGTGCTGACTCTTATTGCAATTATTACCGCCATCAATTTATTTTTTTCCTAGAGATTATGATGGGATTTCCAAAATTAGGGATTAATTTCCCCTATTATAGGTGCTCTAAGGTTCTGAAATTCCATCTCTTCCCTTGTATTGTTCTTCTGATGGACAAACACTACTATCTTAGCACTGTTAGGCAAAATCAACAGTAAAACTGGTACCATCTTGCCCATGTTTATTTGCTTTCATGTACAATTTTGGTCAAAAATTGGCACTTAAGATTTTGTCAAATTGTATTTTCAATGTATCATCTTGGTGAAAAGGTATCTATATTCTCAGTTGTGGACAACAACTGGTTCACTATCTGCTCTCTCCTTATGAATACACCACAAGATTCATAACTTATTGTGGATTATTTGTTTACATATATACAAATACACAAGAAGGGCATACGTCGCGGATTTGTATTTGGTAATAATCATCTTAAAAATGAAGTAAAAATGTTTATCATTTATCTCTCCTAGATCCTCTATTGCGGGAGTCTTGTAATCATCGGGTATAAACTTCTTGTAGTGATTATACATTCAAGTACTCAATAAGCTGATATGTTTGGGCCTTTTTTTGCCCTTTTTTTTTGTTTTTTGGTATGTGTTAAGGTACTCAAAACCAGGGAAAAAAATAGTAGACCAGCATTATTAATAAGCCTGGTTGCTGGTATCATAACACGGAAGAAAACAAGTAGGCAGCCTGTTTGGCATATTTTCGGATTGCAAGCATGCCAAAATTTAACTAGACTTCTGTAAGGAATTAAATCGCGCGTTCGGATCTCCTCCCTCTATCGAAGGATTCTGATTGACTTGAATCCCTTCCTAGGGCAATCCAATAACCTTTCTTCCCACAGTCCAGCAGTTAGAAAAGTTGCAACCCTGTGATGTTTCACAAATTCTCAACCTTTTGAGTTACACCAAAAACTTCTCAAACTATATAACATGTCAATGAAATATTTTCAAGTTTTTTGGATAAAACAACTGAACTAGTTTTTACTTCTAGAAACTTTGAAATGCTAACCACACAATGCCAAAAAAAAAAAAAAAAGACACTCGGTTAAGTCAACTTCTCTGGATGCGGGTAAGCTGCGTGCGTACATATGATACTCCTTAGCTCTCGGATATTTGCGCGAGCCTTGTGTATTGAGTTGTGCGTACACATGATACTCCTTAGTTCTCGGGCATTTGCGAGAGCCTCGTGTATTGAGGCGTGAGGTAAATTGGGTACAAACCTAAGCAAAATTATTTGAAAAGGAATTGGCTGGACTCATTAACTATTGAAGTACTCCAGCAATTACATAGTTTCTTGCAGGACAGTGTCCCTCTTTGGAGGATTCATGGCGTGACATTCTCTGCATGCTGACACAAATGACCTGAAAAATCTCCGGCCAAACCCACCGGTCTTGTCCCTTGCTTCTTTCTTTGCTCTCAACTCGTCTTGCACCGCTGCTTCAGCTCTTTTCCGGCATGAAATTTGGTGCTTCACAACCGGTGCCGGCGTAATGAACTGCCACCTCCTAGAAGACCCATATTGATGATTCAAAACAAGCCTATTTTTCACCGCCGTTTTACCGGAAAACTTGGCCTGACCCATTGCTTTCCTCTCAGATGCCTCACTTGTGCTTGTTCTTGCACTACTGCAGCTGCTACTCCTACTGTTAGTACTATTGCTCCGTGACGACATCAGAGAGTCCTTGCTGCTTACAGTGCTTGTTCTACTCGTGGATCGAGAATAAATACCAGTAATGTTTGTCGCTTGAAGCGGAAAAGGATGGGGTAAAAGCTGGCCATTGAAGAACAGGTGATCAGCCGGAGAATTCGGCGAGCCCGGCGTGACACAACCGAACTCGAACTCAAATTGTTGGTCTTGAATTGGGATGATAGGGAAAGAAAACTTGTCACCGGAACCGCTCTTTCTCCGGAGAGTTTCCATGGAGTTGTGTGGTAAGATTGTTACATTGAGTGAGCTTTCATTCCTTTATACAAAGTAAGCTAAAGTAGCTGGTTCTATGAACAAGGTATGAGGGTTGGCTTTTTCCAAAGGAGATGGACCCTCCTATGTTGTGACATTCTAATTCCTGATGAGCTTAGTGGTCTAAATCATATGCTTTGTTTAGTATGCCAACTCAAACTTTAATTAATTACATGGTTTGTAATGATATTTGGAGCGTGTGGGTTATTCCAAAGATGTGTGTGTTGAATTATCAATGAAGAAGATAAATCCATGGCTTAGAGTTAGAGGTATTATCTTCCTGGATTATTATATTAACCAAGACAAAGACATAGCCCGAAGATAATGTAAAAGAAAGTATGTTGGTATATGTTCCTGTGTGCTTTCCCACCATCTTATATGGTGGCCTTTCCCACCTGCCATACCTGAAACACTAGTAGGTTATGTATCCTATCTATTTGCAATTGTACAAAGAGGGCGGACATTAGCATAATGATAATGTTGTTCCATTATGATTCGACTAATTTACGGGCGGGTTTGAGTTACAAAAATAGTTCTTCCCATGTGGGATAAGATTGTGCAAGTTGAGTCTCTCCAAGACTAATAATAATAAGTTTGGTGTGCTGGATTATCCGTTTTTTTCCTTTGCCCTAACGAGATTTGTTCATAGTTTTTTTTTATGATGATTTCCATGAGTCTTGCCCACTTACTTGTTGTTCTTTATATGAGAAAGCACAGTCCCCTAAAACACTTTCTTCTAAAGCAAAAGAGAATTGTGATCTTTTGTGTGTGTATGTTTGTGTGACAGAGAGAGGGAGGGGTGGGGAGGCTTTATGTGGCTGAGCAACTCAAGTGATAAGATATTGGGCAGTTCAGCTCACAAGACTAAGCAATGATGGATTCAACCTAGCTTTTTCTTAGTGTTGTGGGAAGCAAAGGCAAGAGTTAGCACTTCGTTAATGAATGAGACCTATTCTACTCTTATTTTTCGGATCTGAGACCCATTTTAATTTGATTAAACACTTTTTGTGAATCCCAAACATAGCGACAACTCAGTTCTTAGAAAAGTCCTTGTCTCCCATTAGGGTTTCTGTAGAGGTCTCTTTGGGTCCATCTCCATCTCATTTTGCCATTGGGGACCATTGGTCTGCCAGGTTTTAGGCTCTGATCATCCCCATCTAGCAATTCATTCCTTAATCTCCTTGTTTTTTTTTTTTTGGTTCAACGGCAAAAATGTCCGGACCAACTTATGCGCAACTCAACTAATTTTCTTTCTGATCCGATAAAAAAATAGACCATCCACGCTGAACTAAAATAAATCAGAATAAATCTCTTATGATCTTATTCAAAATAATTATTAAAATTTAAACTCAGAACGTCTGAATTTATAATTTATTTTTATTACTACTTGAACTAGCAGTAGATTAAATCTCTGTGATTATGTTGTCAACTATTAGCCTACTTTCTCTCTTCCACCACAGTTTTTATTTTAATATTTTCTTATTCGGCTCCCCTAACTATGCTTTAGGGTAATGGTATTAGTAGGTCCCAACCATCAACTTTGAAGCAAATACTATTCATCCAGTTCCTGTTGGGTTGACTGCATTGATGCCCACAGGACCAACAAGTTTTAGAATGATCTATATACTGACCCCACGTGAAGTTATTGGTATCGTTTTAAGCTTAACGAATTCAGGCCATAAGTAAAAAAATGAGGGGGTGTTTGTTTCATGTTTTTGTTTTTATTTTTTGAGTAAAATAAAAATAAAAACAAAAACATGTTTGAGATTGTATATCTATTTTATATAAAATAAGTTATTTTGAAAATAAGGCCCAAAAATAAGGAACAAAAAAAAGATGTTTTTGGAAACAAGCAAAACAGAAACACGCACTAAGAGAATTAAAGAGATCCGGGTTTCGAACTTCCTTCACAGCAAACTCAACTCAATTTAATAAAGTCTTATCTTGATATTTTTTTTAAGAAACGACTACATGAATCTCTTTTTCATCATTGTATTCTAAGTTCAGCCTATTTTAAGAGTAATGCTAGATGAATTTAAAAATTAAACTTGATAATGTTAAGTATTGAATAAGTAGTGGGTCCCAGTAAATGCTGAGACATACCCATTGAAATCAATGGTTGTAATTATCAAGTTTAATTTTTAAATCTACTTTTTAAATTCATGTAACATTACTCTTTAAACACAACTATATAATAGTCGGGTATGAGTTATAATATCGAAAAATACTATTTGAACCTAATAATCTGACATAATTTACTGATATAATGATATGGTTTCATTGGAACTATTGAATTAACACCAAGTTTCAATGTTTGATGGAGCTCACAGTCAATTCAAATATTATAGTGAATTAGGTCAACAAATTATGTCAATAAATTAAGTCTCAATTGTATTACTCTATAATATAATATGACACGACTAAATAAACATGTACGAGATATCATACGATCTGTTGTTAGTCTTAGATATTGAAACCAACGACTCGATCTGAACTCGATCCAATACTAGTAAATTTTGAAGGAAGAAAGACACCCAAAGTCTTGTCTTGGGTTCATGGGTTATCCGTATTAATCCGACCGTAATCTCAATATAATACCACTTTATTGTCACGCCCTTCCTAACTATCAACATTAATTGCTAACAATCATGATCTCAGCAACGTTAGTCGCTAGCAAAAGCAGAACCGCCGCTGAATCGGCTCCACTTGCTGCACCAACGCCAAGGATAAATATTAAATCCTGTCCAGTGTCCCCTTCCACAGCTCTCAGCTCAGCACTAATAATTGTATCAGTATTAAACAGAAGGTCAGTCTAATATTACAAAATAAAAATAAAAATTAAATTATAAATTTATAAAAATATAATAAGGATTAAGATTAATTCAATATTACAAAATTCATCCTTATTTTTTTTTTTCGTTCAAAAACATCATTTTCTTTGTACGACCCCTAATGTCAGACAATTTTGATGATGCACAAAATCAGTTTGTACACCACTAGTCAATTAAACAATATAAAATTAAGTAAAGTAGAGAGAGAGAGAAGACAAGGTTTATAGTGGGTCGGCCGTGACCTACGTCCACTTTGAATGACAAAGTTTGCCGCTGATTTTATTAACTCCGGTGTGTTCTCCCAAGGACTTGATTAAGGATGAGAGAGGTTGACTCTCTGCGGGCTGCGAGGGTGAGGCTCTTGGGTGCTCCCTTGGTGATGAGGATGAGGCTCCTGGATGACCTTAGGCTCTTAGATGACCGTGCATGCTCCCTTGCTGATGTAGCTCCTTGGTGTTGATAAGGTTATCCGGGTGTAGACTCTTTTGAGCTTGATTAACTGGATCTCTTGGAATTGAGACTTTAGATCGGACCAGGCTTATAACATGGGTTGGACCCTTGGGCCTGACCCACCATTTGCTCCTCAATGCCCTGCGTTCAAGGAACTTAGAAGAAAGGTGGGCATTCGGTTGAGTTTGAATTTTTGGCTAAACGGCAAAATTGAAAAAATTTCGAGAGGCCAAAACATATACTTCTAGGATTTTTTTGGGCTTTTTTTTGTTGTAGTTCATTTCCATTGGCAATGACTCTTGTAGAGCTTTTTGAGAGCTTCGATTTGACATATTATGGGCCCCGTTTAGAGTTATGGATCAAAAGTTACAGTCAAAATAATGTACACCCCCTTTTAAATTCGATTTTTTTTTTCAGAAAAACCCTTGGTTTTGAATGGAGCCTTTGTGCCTTTTCCTTGTTTTCAAAAAACCCTATGTATAAATAACAACTATCTCCACTTCACTCATTCCATTGAAACTTGAGAAAGTGAAAAAAGATTTTTTTATCTCCAAGAATCCTCCGAGGAATTGTGTTAGGAATCCTTGGCGAATGAAGGAAGTAATCATCATGGGGTTGCTGCGGTGATCCAAGGAGAGATGGAGGATGAGGTAGACGCCGGTGTGGAGATGTTTGGGACGTCGCAGGCGCTGGGTGCCGCTGCTGTCCAGGCGCTGGGCGCCTTTACTGATCGCGCAGGGAAGTGTGCAGCCCACGTGGTAAGCGAGCAGGAGAGAGTGCTGGGCGCCCATATGGGCGAGCATGGTGAGCTGGGCGTGGAGGGCACTGATCTGGGAGAGCTACCTGGGCGCGCAGACAACCTGGGCGTGCTGCTTGGGTGCGTGGACAGCCTGGGTGAGCTGCCTGGGCGTGCTGCCTAGCTGTGCGGCTGGGACGCACAGGATGGTTCATTTTGGTGGATTTCCTCAAAGTCAGATTACTCAAGACCTCCCCATGTTGGTGTAGCTCCTTGGTCTTGATAAGGTTATCCGGGTGTAGACTTTTTTGGGCTTGATTAGCTGGATCTCTTAGAATTGGTCCTTTAGATCGGACCAGACTTATAACATGGGTTGGGCCCTTGGGCCTGGCCCATCAAATTTAATTAACGCATTCTTTAATGTCAATTAACTTCAAGCTTAGTAGCTTACAAGATCTATCAAGTTCCACTTTTCCCACTTGATCTTGCAAGCCTATACTTCTTACTTTCGTAACCGTCATTGCAATTGTTGGAATTTGTTGATCGCTTACTTGATTGGAAGGATCGTTGCTGAGCAACCAACTCAACTAGCATCAAAGTTGAAATTTGGGTTTTTTTCAAAGGATTGGAGTTGTTGTTGCTGAGCATGAAAGGAATTGATAGAGTTATTATCGAATCAGATTTAGAGGAAGCCTGTCGCCTCCTCCTCAACCAAGGATATGATAACCCTGCCTAGAAAGTGCTGGTGGGGAAATACAAAGATTTGATGAAGAACAAGAATTGAGCAATACACCATACACTTGGTGAAGGAATATATGCACAGACCAACTATATTACTAGGGGTGCAACTTGCAGGGCTAACCTAAATTTAAATCGAGCCCAACTCAAAAAAACAGGACTTGAGTTAGAATTTTTAATATTTTGGTTGGGCCTGGACAAAAAAATTCTAACCCGAATTAAATTTGGACAAACATCAAGTTAAGACTTCAGCTTGTCAGGTTCAACCCTAATATTAAAATCGGATTGAACCTGAATATACATAAATATATAAATATATATAACTACAGTTAGTATTTATCTTCACTCTTCAGAATTTAGACTTTCACTTTACTTCAAGTCTTCACCTCTGCGCCTTTATCACTTCCAGATTCCTCTCTCACTCATCACTTCTCCCTCTTTCACTCTTTCTCTTTCTTCATCTGCGTTTCGCCCTTCATCTCAAATCACTTGAAAAAAATAAGATCTACACTTGAAGAAATCAAATTTATACTTCAAAAAATCAATCCAAATTAAGTAACTCAAATTCAATCCAATTTTTAACTCGAAATCAAACCAAATTAAGTAACTTAAATTCAATTTGAGCTTGTTCGAATTAAACTCGAATAGTACTCGAATTGAGGTAGAGTTAGGATTAAAGATTATATACTTAAAATTAAATTAGTATTAATCACACCCCCAAGTCCCGATGTGGGACAACATCAATTTTTGATGAACAAGAGCCAAATTACAACACAACTCCTTAAAAGGAGAAGTGCAGTAGTTGGCATATAAACACACCCCAAACTCACCCAAAGTCCCGATGTGGTAGTTTGGCTCTTGTTCACCCCAATCCAACCTTAACCAATATCAATGTTATATAATAAATTTTAAATTTTTAATATCTATTTAATAAAGTAGCTTATAATTCAAATTTCAAAAGATAAATAAAATATTTTTTGTTATTAGCAGTTGAAATTACTTTAAATTTTACTTTAAAGTTAATCTAACAGTTAATATTAACATCTTAAATTTAATAAGAAAAATATGTCTTTAAAGGTGTGTTTGAAATGACTTTTTAAAATGACTTTTAAAAATTATTTCTCATAAATACTTAAAAAAAATAGTATTTAAAATCACCCTACCATTACCTCTACCATCATCACTGTCACCGCCATCGCCATAGCCACCGCCACTGCCACTGCCACTGTCGCCGCCACCGCCAGCATCATCATTATCATCGTCGTCGCCGCCACCAGCACCACCAATGTCGCCGCCACCACGGTTATTGCCATCTACCACAATTATTACCGTCTCCTACCACTACTACTGTCGTTCATCACCTCTCACCCACACTGCAAACCGATACTTAAATTCATTTATCTCTTTTTTATGTTTGTGATTTGATTTTGAATATAAATATAACTATATTTATTATTTGTCATTTTTTATTACTCTGTGCCTTCGGGCACAGTCAATAATTAGTTATAAAATATTTTAAGACATAAGATTATTACTAGTTCTCCAATATTGAAACCTACAAGTAGTAAAGCAAGCAGCAAAATAGATAAACACCAGGTTATCAATTCTTCAAATATGATTTAGTGCAACAATGACAAGGATAACACACATATCCGTGTCCTAAGCACTAACTATTCCAAAGTGGCTGCTGCTCAAACCCCTCAATCCAAGGAAATGTCACATTTAAATTACAGGTGTCATAGACTTGAGTATTATTGTGAATCTAGATTACGCAAATGCTTCCATCTATCTTCGTTTATTCACTAATTGTCAGCATGACTTAATAGAACAATTAGATAGCTTAACGTGAGAAAAAATGTATAAAAACAAAGCAAGCTATCGTAAGATGGACTAGATACTACATTCACTGAACTTAGACGTGATAGGAGAGTCCCAATTAGAGGTGAAGTCAATCATTCCCTCGAAAACAAAGATCTGAAGTGGTCTATATTTTCTGAATACTCAATATAACTCACGTATTTATGTACAAATCAGTGTAGACAAAGTAATAAGAATATATCCAGTGATTTGTCTATTCCCATCAACAAATAGATGGTTGCAAGAAGTTTGGAGAATAGCTTAATTTCTACCACCCAAAATTTTTTGTGAGAATAGCTGATCTACCATTTCTTCTGTCTTGACTTATGTTTTCCTTGTCACGCGTTTGAAGGGAATTGAATATCCTATAAGAATAATATTATTCAAATTTAATTTATTTATTATAATTTTCAGGTTAAAAGTGAATCCTATCCAACGTGAAAATTTGATGTTAATTCAATGACTACAATGAATTTGATTACCGAATTAGGTGCACCTACCATTGCTGTATTCTAATTATTAAAGTGGTGGACTTCCTAAATACTCGAGGCAAGGTGGTTAAAGGCCTAAGAATGAGGAAAACCAAGTATTCTTTTTAAGTTTTTAACTCCGTGGGGGGAGATCGGTATTTTTCAAACAATAGGGGAAAATCTGAAAAATGGAAAAGATGGTGGCGGCGAATGTGTCTTAAACAAGCAGAGAACGCGGACACATACAGAAGACTATGGGCGTGTCAACTGTAGAAGAATCATCATCCATTTCCCAAGTCCCAACACACACCTGTCTCTCCTCATCGCTTTCTCTCTCTCTCTCTCTGTGCCACTGTTTATATTGCAAAATCTAAGTTTCAGCCATGGCCGGCAAAGAAATCCTCCATAAGATGAAGGTACGTAGCTTTCCGATCCCCATTCCATCATTTTAATCTTCTCTCCCTTTTGTACACACGCATTCTATCAATGCAAATACTCACGCACATTTTAGCCCATGATCCACATCACTGATTACTGGTTTTTATTAGCTTCTTTGTTGTTCCGAAGATCTACTTGATTGGAGATGATCATATGAAATTCACATTGCGGATCGAAATAGTTAATACTGTAATATGTTGAATTATGATTAAATTTCAGATATGGCTATTCATGGAGATCATAGTCTTTTTAGAGGTTAAGAGTCAGTTACGTGTAGCCAAGGGTTGAAATTTTATGTATGTTTACGATAATGAATTCCTGTTGGGTCGTAGTATTTTGTTTTGGAGAAGGTTGATTTGACTGATTAATGCTTGATTTTATGATTATTTTAAGTTTTTAATTAATGTTCAAAACCAGTATAAAGCATTGCGCTGATGAAAACCTAGAACATTTGTGACAGTGACGCTGCAATATTATTGGCACGTCCTGTTATCGACCAATTATAAAACAATAAATAGAACTGGTGAATCCCACTATTTTAACAAGAAAGAGATAATTTTTGGTAGTTAGTAAAATAATGGATTCTATTAAATCCAGTTAGTATTCTATGGTTGGTTACACCACATCATCGATGCACGTGTGTCACTTTCATGCATAACTGGAGTCTTGTGCTGCTGTGCATGCGCTGCAGACTTTTTTATCCGTGCTGATAAACAGAAGTCTGTTACAGATGGTTTAGGTATGGATGTAGTTACTGTGCGTGTAAGATCCTGTACAATATAAAAAACGAAAACAGATCTCTTTTTTGGTGAACTCGAGTGAGCCGGTTGAGTGACCAACCACGCTGCTTGGAACAGCCTGCGAGGTCCGATGATAACCTGGAACGGCAACGGGAGACCCTGGGGGAGCGGAAGAACGATCTAGTAAGGCTGAAAGAGGTTCCTGGAATAAAGAAGAACAAGTTAGAAGGGCGCCGGAGTGTTTTTCGGCGTATCCCCTCCGACGATCTAGTCAGTCTTTGAGAAAGAGAGAGGAAGGAGAAAACACTGAGTGTGTATTGTAGTAAAAATTTTTTTTGTTGCATACCCGTCTTGCCTTTTGCAAGGAGTATTTATACCTCAAAAGCTCATGATTGCTGTCAGTGTAGTCAGTAGGTGATCATTAGGTACAGGCAGTGTGCGCACTGATTCTGATGAGGAATGTCTTCTCTTCTTAACTGCTCGGGGTCCCGAGCAATCAATGCTGGGTCATCGGGATGCCGACGGTACAATGTACTCCTCTCGGGGAGAATGCAATAAATGCTCTGTATTAGGAGCATTTATTGCCTTTCATTTCCGAGCCTTACCGCATTGAATGCGGTCTCATCAAGGGAATGGTGTAATTAATCGTTTGCTTTCCCAAGTCGCGTGTCAGCAACGGCATGCGGTTTCTCTGTCTTCGATGTGATATCATACGCCACGCGTCCATCCCCTATTGGCTGTGACCCCTGCATTCCAGTACGTTCTGACACTCATTATGTAAGACGAGGTCATGATGAATAGCCTAGACTAGCTTAGGCTAATGACCTGTACGTCAATAGCTTATCCTGGAGTAGAGGAAGCGTCCAGGACGGGGTACCTCTCGGCACCGAGGAAAGGC